GAAACTCAATCCACCTATTTTAAACTGTTAGTGGACTAAGAAGGAACTTTGCTAAAGTATTGTGAGCACTTTTCCTTCCTGCCCCCTCCCCCAACCCAGCAGCCCACTTGACACCACTTTCTCTCAGGCTGGGATCTTTAGGATGGCCCTGTATGACTTGTTCTTTCTTAAACTGAGCTGCATCAAGACTTCCTCCCCAAGCATTACGAGGATAGTAGTTCTTGTAAGGCTGTTGGTAGGTAAGATGTTTACACCAAGATTTTGTTTCAGTCTACCTAGAACTTTGAATCCTGAACTAAAGAAAGATCACAAGCATACGATCTAATGCCACGCTTCTCAAATTTATGCACTAATCAAGGGCCACACCTTCTGTGTTAAGGGCTTATATATGGGTTCTTAGCCTGGTCTTACATACCGGGAACACCTGGGGAGTTCCCACTTCTATAGGTTCAAGTTTAATTAGTTAGGATGGGGCCTAGAGAGTGATAATGTGTACAAGTTCCCCATGTGGTACACGGCCAGAGTTAACAAATACTGGCTTAAGGGTCAGCACTTAATTTAACTGCAAAATGCCCAGATGGGAAATTAAATTCACTTCTAAACCCTGACATGAACCTGTGACATGTGTCTAGGATAGAAATTTTCCTTTTGGCCCTACCAAAGTTCCAAAGGAAATGATAGCTATTGCTTTTTTATGGCATGTGGGAGTAGCTGGATGAAAGGATGTTTTCCTGCTTAATTTTTACATGGTAGTTTTCATTCTGACCTCATCCTATCCCCAAATATGTCATTATCCATATTACTTCCCAAGACTTAGGGTGAAAGTGGTTTCAAACTATCTTGTAGACCATGTATTTTAGTCTGTAGTGCTGGTATAACAAAATACCACAGACCAGTTAATTTATAAAGAAAAGAAATTATTTCTTATAGTTCTGGAGGCTGGAAATCCAAAATCAAGATGCTGTCATTTCTTGTCTAATAAGGGCCTTTTTGACAGTCTTCACATGGCAGAAGGCAGAAAGGCAAACAAGGGCTGAGCTCTGTGGGAAGCCTCTTTCATAAAGGCCTCAGTCCTATTCATGAGTGAGGAGCACTAATGACCCTATCACTTCCTAAATACTATTGCATTGGATTAAGTTTCGACATAAATTGTGGGGTACCCACTCAGATGGTGCTTTTGAATTGGGAACAGGATCTCCACCATGGAAGTTTGCTTCTTGAGGGGTAAGGATATCTTAGGTATTAAAATAGTCTGTGCCCCAACCCCCAAAGTTTAAACTGATGTAACACAATCATGTCTTTTTGTTTAACTTCTCCTGTTAAGGATAAATTAACCTTTGGGAGTGCAATACTAGGGTTTAAACAAAGGGCCTCACACCTGTGAGGCAGGTGCTCTGCCACTTGAGCCATGCCTCCAGCCCTTTTTAATTTAGTTATTTTTCAAATAGGGCCTTTTGTTTTTTTCCCAAGCCAACCTGGACCTCTGTGCTCCTATTTATGCCTCCCTCGTAGCTGGAATGACAGACTTACACCACTGAACCCACCATAGTCATACTAAAGATCTGTGAGCACAAGCCTCCTTAACTGACTAGACCCTTTCCTCACCAGATGTGACCAACTCCATATGACTCCTGCACCTGTCACCTCCCTGAACTATTTGAACACAGGAAATAAGAAGCTAGGGCTCCCCTCTCCTGGGGTCCTGAGGACAGTGGGACCTTGGTTTGATGTATTTATGTGACAGTTCTTTCTGCAGTGCTGAACAGAGTGGCTCTGAGGTGGGAGGAGGAAAAAGTCTTCCGTGAAAGAAGTTGATCTTAGATCTGGTTAGCCAAAGTAATCTCTGTTCTCTTCCTCCTATTATGACAGAAAGCCAGATTTACTTTAGCTAAAAGGTTTAAAAGAAAAAAAAAAAAAAACAAAGGTCTGGTGGATGGTGGAGTGGCTCAAGTATAGAGCACCTGCCTAGCAAGCATGAGGTACTGAGTTCAAACCTCAGTGCCACCAAAAAAAAAAATTCAGAATAAAAAGAAACAAAAGCCATACAGATTTGGGAAAAAATAAGGAAAATGCACCCACTTTACAAAAGAGGAGAATTGTGATGTTTGTGGTCTCAAAATTAAATTATTCCTGAAAGCTGTTTATTTTGCTCCCATAACTACTATTTATTCAACTTGAGTAACGTGATTACTTTGAATCTTGTCATGGTAAATGCTCTTATTATTGTTTGGAATCTGAGCTCCTTAAAGCATTCTGGCATGGAAAAGAAAGCCAAAATAAACAAGGCTTATTGCAAGGCTGTTATTATTTCATTTTTAAAAATGCATGCAGACTTACGTAAATGCAGAGCTTGGGTTGGTTGATAAAAAGCCTTACTGTCAAGTTCCTGGAATGTTCTTATAATGAGCTGATCATTGAAGTCCATCACTGAGCATAAGAGTGGTGTGAGACCTCTTGCTTGTCTGGAGGCCCTGTCCACAGCACTGGCACACCTACGTGTGGAGGAGTGGCTGGCCCAGGTCACCACTGTTAATAGCTATTCAAGCCTAAGCTGGGATTGCCGCCAATGTCAGCTTTTTTGGGTTCTTGGTCCAGTTCGTATGTGGTTATTGGAATGTTAGATAGGTAAGTGGTGAGCTACCAAGAAGAACAGTAAAGAGGCTTGGACAGTGTTAGCAGTCCCTGCCTAGCTGTTTCTAGGTCATCTTGCGTCATCCCCATTTCAGTAATGCCTACTAGAAAGATCTGGCCTGTGATCTTTCTGCTGCTCCCCACCCCCCCCACCAACTGCCATGTCACACCCTGCAGTGTCTGGACTACAGGGCTTCCTTGAGAAAGTCACACACTCAGGCAGTGCTCTGAGTACTCACGTGGGCTCGAATTACCGCCCACCTTTTGTGGACTTCTTGTCAAGGCTATTTCGAATGCTTTGAAGTGTTGGATAAGGTGCATCTCCTCAGTGCCAAGGGCTAAGAGAGTTGGGGAAAAAGAGGGGACACACAGTCACTGCTGTCCAGACTCCCCTGTCTGGTGTCCACTCCTGCTCAGGACCTAACTCCATTTCTAAGATTCCTTAGAAGGGCAGTGCTTTGTATAGTACTCAGTGCTGGGCTATAGGAATGCACGTGCCCTACACCTGCACCCAGGGATTCACACTCCTGCAGTTGTCATGGACAGGCACGTAAGTGGGAGCTGGGAGTCCTGAGGAGGAGAGGAAGTGCTGGTAAGACTTCTCAGAAAAGTGGCGTCTCAACTGAGACCTACAGAATAAATAGGTCAGGTGAAAGGGGCAAGGAGTGAATGTTCCAAGCAGAGACTGGAGGTGCAGAAGCCAGGAGACCCAGAAGGAGTGGTCATGGTGAGAAGAAGGATGAAGCAGGAGTTCAAGGAGTTTGGACAGCATTTCTTGGTGCCCACCAGAGATGAAATCCTGGGCTGACTAGTCTTTGAGGTAGATGTAGGCTATGCTGGCTATCATACTGAAGATGTTTAAGACTACAAAAAGAGCACCTGCCAAATTCTGAAGCAGTGTGCTAGTGACACTGTTTTATAGTAGTATTAAAAACCCCTATATATTTGCCAAAGAGGCTCAGTGACAACATTGAAGACTCCAGTAGAAACAAGTGAGAATACAAAAGATATAAGGTGTGGTTTCTGCCTTAGATTCATTTATCTTCTGGTTGGCATTGCAACAATAAGTACATTAAACAGCATAAAAATAATGACAAAGCCTTACTCAGTCACTGCAAGTGAGTTTTATACAAATTGACCCCTAGGAGGAGTGAAGAGAAACAATGGAGGACAAGTTGAGGGAAGGCTTAGTGAGCGGAAGGCAAGACAAGGGAGAGGTCCAGAGAGGAAGGAAAAGCAGCCTTGACTGAATGACCAGGATCTGATCCTGCTGAGCAGCAGGGCTTGGAACCAGGCTTACATTGCATGGTAATGAGGACACTGCTAAGGTCCTCCCACTGAGCCACCTAGAATTCAAGGTAGAATATGGCAGAATCAATTCATTCTGTTGTGAAATAATTCTAACCAGAGTTGATTTTGGAGCCCTGCCCTGTTTTCTGTTAAGCATGACTAATATCTCCTCCCCATGCCATTGTTCTGTTTTACCCTTCGATTCTTTCCTACTGTCATGCTTTGCTATCGGAGTGAATCTGGTTATATCTTGAGAGACTTCACATGGGAGAACCTGGAGAGCCAGTTCCATGGTTCACTAACTTGACAGAAAGGATGTTGTGGACCAAGCATATCCACTTCTTGATACCCTATTAATTTACTCCTATTCTCATGTCACTTTCTCCAGCTCTGTTGTCTCAGTTCCAGCTGTTGCAGCAAAATGACAAAGACTGGGCAGCTTAAACAACAGCCACTTATTTCTCATAGTTCTAGGGGCTTAGGAAGCTGATGATGAGGCGTGGAAGGATTCAGTGCCTGCCTGGTGAGGGCCACTGTCACTTCACAGAAAGCCTCCTCTCACTGTGTGCACAGATGGTGGAATGGATTGGGCAGCTCTAAGGGGCCTCTTTTACAAGGGCACCAATCCTATTGGTGAGGGCTCTGCCCTCAAGACCCGATCATCTCTTAACAACTCCACCTCCTAATTTCATTACTTTTGGGGGCAGGACTTCAACATATGAATTTGGGGGACACAAACACCCAGAACATAGCATGTGTTTTTTCACTTAAGAAACTGGGACGATGACATCTGTATGCAACATGTGAGGATTTATCAGGGTCTTAACAAGTTTCTCCAGACATCAGCAAAGTTGAGATGCATTGTTAGTAAAGCAAAATGCTTGCATGACTGGAGAATTGGTCACGTCATTTTAGAAAGGACTCAAATGGTGACTGATTTACCATTGTCCTTAAAACTTGAACACTCAGAATAATGTACATGAAAAGACTTCAGGAATGCAAATTTTTTGGTTCTCCTTGATGGCCCACCAGGATAGTCTACCCTAAATACAAACATGAGGGTCTATTTCTGTTTCCAGATTGCAGAGGGCATGGCGTACATTGAGCGGAAGAACTACATTCACCGCGACCTGCGAGCAGCCAATGTCCTGGTCTCTGAGTCACTCATGTGCAAGATTGCAGATTTTGGCCTTGCTAGAGTTATTGAAGACAATGAGTACACAGCAAGGGAAGGTATGTGCTGGGAGCTATCTTTTAACTGTTTTCTTATTGTTTCATCTTTGTTTTCATATCAATTACAAAAATCATAATTTTTTTAAAACTTACTCCATACAATATTGAAGATGTACCATAAGAGTCTATTAATGGTTCTGTTGTAATAATTGTTTTTCGAAAGTACTATCTATGTAAAATGGGAGGACAGGGAGGTGGGAACCAGTGGGAGAGGAGAGGTGAAAGGAAAGAATGAAAGGAAGCAAATGTGATCCATGTTCTTCATCCACCTATATGAAAAGAGAGCAATGAAACCTGTTAAAAAATTTTTTTAAGGAAAGGGGGAATAAGAAAGAGTAATATAACTTAGAGTACATTTTATGCCTGTATGGAAATAACTGCAATGAAATCCCTTTGTACAATTGATATACGCTAGTGAAACAACAAGAAAAAAGTATTCTTTAGGTTAACTCCACTGTGATATGGTTCATAAATACTATTCTTTTTCTTTTCTTTTAGGTTTGTTGTTGTTTTGTTTTCTTTTGGTGTTTTGAGCAGAGTCTTGCTATGCAACCCAGGCAGAGCTGAGATTCAATCCTGAAACTGTGGTGTCAGAGCCAAGCTCCCTATCACTGCACTGTCCCGAACTGTGTGCTGCTGGTCTAGAGAGTTCGTGTTTGGAGGGGTGGGAGTTGGGGGGGAGGGACGGTTAAGACAGGGATGGGTGACAGTGCCTGACAGGGACATAACAGCTGTTCCACTACTGCCTTTTCTGCTCTTGAGACTTCCAATTTTGGTTGGCACCACAAAAAATTCTCAAGCAAAGACATAATTTAAGAGGCTTTTTTTTTAGTGGTTGGTGGAAACCCCTAGCCTTTCCATAATCCTGGAATAACAGTCTGTGTCTGAGTCCTTTGTTCCTCAAGGGGATTCTGTGTGTTTCCCCTGGGTTACATCTGCCTGTCCCAGGTCTGTCAACCTCACCAGCAACTCATAGAAGCATTGTTCCATCGTTGTCTCCTTCTGGGCTGATCACCAGTCCTAACAGTTCAATATGTTTTGTTCCAGCAAATGAAAAAATGAGACATTGCCATTTGGAGTACCATCTGAAATTTTTGGCACTGGCTTAGAGACATTTATCTACAAAAGTGTATGCATTAAAAGACACACATATTCTGACTATGGAGTATTCACACATATTCTACCACAACTCAATGGTAGAAACTGTGCTCAGCATGTGTGAGATCCAGGGTGTGATCCCAGTATGAAAAAAATAGTTAATTAAAATAAAATAAATGAGGTTTTTGGGAATGGGGTCTTGCTATGTTGCCTTGCTGGCTTTGAACTTCTAGGCCCAAGAGATCCTCTTGCCTCCACTTCCGAAGAAGCTGAGACTACAGATGTACACCACCAAGCATGAATTGAGGGAAAATTTGAACACTAAAGATCTGTGCTCTAGAGCCTGGTGTTGAAGGACAAACACATACACTTAGAACAAATTCCTTTACATGTCATGTTCTTTTGTGTTTAAACTAAGCTTGTTATAATCTCCCTGAGAGGTTACAAAAGAAACCAGCAGAAAAAGGGACACACGTTTTTATTAGTAATTAAATAGTAATAGTTTTTATTATTAGTAGTAATAGTACAAGGGGTTTCATTGTGATCATTCCATAGATGCATATAGTGTACAATATTTTTATATGACATTTTATACCATTTCCATTTTGTATGTTGTATCTGTGTTATCTATTAGAAATAATTGCTTAAGTTGTTTTTAAAATATCAAAAGAAGAAAGTGTGACTTTTTGTTTAAGCTGATGTGCCCAAGCAAGAGTCATGTGTCATCTTCTTCCTCAGGTGCTAAGTTCCCTATTAAGTGGACAGCTCCAGAAGCCATCAACTTTGGATGCTTCACTATCAAGTCGGATGTATGGTCCTTTGGAATTCTCCTGTATGAAATTGTCACCTATGGGAAGATTCCCTACCCAGGTATCACTTCCTTACCTGTTTCCATTCGAGTGGTCTGTATGAGAGAAGAGTCAAGTTGCATGAAGGCATTGAAAAAAACAAATAGCCCCATCTATCCAAAAGCAAAGAATAAGTGCTTTCACCAGAACTTGCTTTTCACTGTGTTTTGTGGAAATTGTTCTAAAATATGCTTAGACACTTCTCTGCCTGTACTTTCTTGAGTGCTTACTCTTCCAGCACTTACTCACTGCCTAGAGTGTGCACTATTGTAAGAGTGGAGAAGAGCCTGGATTAGAGACAGGTGCCCATGCAAGGCAGGGCCCCTGACAGAGGAGGAAACAGACAGAGAAGCGAGGATTTCCAATGCCTTCTGGTTATTTTTGGAACTGAACTTTTGTAATAAGGACTGTAGACACTCTCCTTCTTCAGGGAATAACTGGCTCTTTCAGTGAAAGAGGCTTTCCATCTTTAACTTAAGGCTGTCAGTATCTCCAGATTCCTAACTTTTGAACCCAGGGAGCCAGATTCTGCCTGCACTGCCCCTCCCTTCCTCCAGAATCTGTGCTAGCATGGTAAAGAGGCATTTCTCTCAAATGTTTTACTTTCTCATTAATGCCTGACTTTTGACAAAAATCTATAGATGAAATGAATTTAAAATTAAATTTTTAATGTTTAAATCATTCATTCAAAAATTATCTGAGGGTTGGGAAGTAGCTCAGGGATACAGTACTCATGTAGCATGAGCAAGGCTCTGGGTACAATCCTCAGAACCACAAAACTAAATAAATAAAAATAAAACAACAAAAATATCTGAGTGTACCAGGCACCCTCAGGGCCGTAGGTCTTAGCCCCTACCCTTGAGAGCTACTGTTTTGGTGGGGAGAGACATTCAATCTGCAGTAGTGTAGGGTTCTGGTGTGGAGGGGTTTAGGGTGCGCATAAAAGTAGAGATGCAGGAGTCAGTGGTTCTGGTAGTGGCAGCAACTCAAAGACATGAGGGAGGGAGCTTCAGCAACTGAGCATCCTGCAGTGGGAACAGCCAGCACTTGGGGCTAGGAAACAGGAGCGGGAGGCCAGTGTGATTTGGGCCTCAATGAGTATTTGATGGATAAATGAATGAATGACTCACTTAGGCCATTTAATCTTGAGACAGTCTCTATGCTCTAGATGAGAAAGTTAGGAAGCCATTGTGATAGAGGAGGCCATCAACTAAGGGCGAGTATGGGTCAGGAGTCTCAGTGGTCACAAGAGAACTCCCATCTCACTTGTCACGAGGTGGAAGTGGGGAACTTTTGGACAGAACAACACCACTAGGCAGGGCTGGGTCATAAACAAGCAGGAACAAGACCAACTGGGAGTGGAAGAACTTTGGATGATGGCTGCACGGAGCCATGGTCCCAGGATATCCCTCTCCTGCCAGAGTTCCATATTCCAAACACCCTCTGCTCTGGCTCCAAAGTTAGCAAATTAACACTGCAGTAAACTAGGAAAAAATATATCTGATCAGCCCTGCTGTCTGACAGCATGTATCTGTAGCTCAGTTATTTAGGCCTACGTCTATAGTTATCTGTCTATATAGAGAAAAAATTAAATATCCACATTATGCATATAATCAAATACCTGATAAACATGTAACCTATGTTACATGTATGACATGCTACATTGATGTCCAGCTGAGACTCAGAAGAAACAACTCAGCCCCTGGCTGGTAGCAGAGCTGCTACTAGACTGAGACCCATAGGCCTCCTAAGACCTTCCTCTCACCCACTGTGCTCAATGTCTAGAGTTTGGAAATATTTGGGGTGAAAAATCATAAAAAAAATACTTAAACAAAACTGGTAGAAGAATGTTAAGAATCATACACAATAAAAAGTGTATAGTGGAACCAACCAGAAACCATTGCTTGGTGTGTTCCCCAGTGGGCTTGTCCTTTGTAATAACTGAGATGTGAGTCATTCTCGAGTTCCGCACTGATGATCCTGGGAGCCTCAGGCATTGGGGATGATCAGATAATCAGTGCCAGTTATTTAAATATCAGAGGACTTGATTCATAGAGTAGGAATTGGTGAATGTTGCCAAAATATACCTTTTCCCACCACTGTTACAGAACTGCTTATGGAAGAGACTCCCTCATAGCTGTTATCTGACTTTCTTTGCCCAGAACAGTGCTGGATATGTTAAGGTCTTTTAAAAAGTGTGTCAGAAGCTATATGTCTAGTTTATAAAACAACAAATGACATAAAAGAAAGGAGGGGGAAAAAACAAGAAAGAAAGAAGAAAGTTACATATATGTGAACACCTGTTTGTACAGGGAAAAAAGGTATAATTTACCAAAATGTTACTATCCTTGGGGAAGGAGATCATAGAGTTTGGTAAATATCTGAAGTTTCTAATTTCTTACAATGACACTTTTATTAAAGTTTTATTCTTACCCAAGTAATATATGCACATTAAAAAGCCAGGTGGTATAAGAAGTCTTGTAATAAAAACAAAATTGCCATCCAGAGCCCCATTTTTGATGCTTCTCAAAAAAATTCACTTTTAAGAATTTTGGCTATTTATTCTAGTATTTTCACCTCATTCTAACTACGACACTTCAAATTTTGAATTTGAAGTAACTCTTTCTCCTTTTACTTGTTATTAAATAAGATATGCTCACATTTCAGAACTCAAAAGCATAAAGAAATATAAGCTTAAGGGTGTCCTTCCTTCTTTCCAGTCATACAATTCCCACCCCAGAGACAACCATTGTTAGCAATTTCTACTCCAGACATCCCATGAAAGTAGAATGAGGCAGTTTCTGCCCTTTTGCCTGGCTTATTTCACTCAGCATAGTGTCCTCAAGATCCATCTGTAGTGTGGCAGCACCTTGCTCACGCTGAGCCCTCTCCTCACACCCAGCACATGGTCCTAAGCTCTCTACACCCTGCTGGGCCTGGTGCACGAGCTCATCCATCCAGTTTTTCTCAGTTCATACTCTCTTGTTAGAACAGAATGCCTAACGCCTCTTGGCTGAGGCGTCCAAGAGCATGGCACCAGCACCTGCCTAGCTTCTAGTGGAGGGCTTGTGTTGCTTCAGCTCATGGTGTAAAGCTGAAGGGCAGGTGGGCTTAAGCAAAGAGACTAAACAGGAGGGGAGGAGGAAACCATCATTTCACCCAGCTCACTCTCCAGGCAACTGATGCAGTCCCTCAAGAGGGACACTCACTCCCGTGAGAAAGTCATTGACCTCTCTTAACAACCTAGAGACCTCCCTTCTCAACAGTGTCACAATGGCGATCAAATTTCAACAGGAGTTTCAGGGGCGACACACTATATTTGCACCATAGCACAGTATCTCCAGTGTTGACTGGGGCACTGCCAGGCAGGCTGTGGGTTCCCTCTTGTCTGTAGCCACTGGTCTCACCCTCCCTTGTCGGGCGCTGGCCACCTTAGGGAGCCTTCCCAGGTTGTGTTGGGATGGACCATCCTGCTTGTTGTTCCTCTGTAAGCATTTTGGCTACACTTTCTTCCTCTTGAGTCAGACCACTTCTGCCTCTGGCTGCCACATTTCTGTTAGTTTCATCAAAGGTGCAGTTAGGTTTCCATTTCTGTTCTCCTTTTTGTTGTAGGGTGAATTATAAGGAAAAAATGAGAGGAGAGACAAAAGATCCTCACTTCACTATCTTAAAACCAAAACTGTTTATATTTCTATGTGAATTTTATAAAGAAAAAGAGGGGTCCGTGTGGTTTGGATTTTGTTTGCTTTGCCTGTATGAAAAGAAAAGAAGTTTGAAAATGGCAAAATGTTCTAAAGTATCATGTCTTTTCTGGTTATTTCTTACCAGATGTATCTAGTATCCCTGTGCCACATATAAATCAGAATAAAAAAATTTATCCTGCTGCAAATATCTCCCTTTACCACAAGCAATGCTAAGAAAAATAAAATAAAATAGTTTGCATTTTCGAAAGATGTATTACTGAGTGAGAGACTATGGTCCCAAGGTAGCTGGGTTTTTTCTCCTCCCACCCCTCACCCAGAGGGGCCAGCTTCTTTAGTTTGCTTTCAGATGGGGTCTTGTGCTTTTGCCCAAGCTTAGCCTTTGGCCATAATCCAGCTCCCTGAGTAGCTTGGATTATAGGTGTGAGCCACTGTGCCTGGCTCCCCTGCGTCTTTAAAAACTGTATCGGCCAGGCACAGTGGCTCAAGCCTGCAATACTAGCTATTCAGGAGGCACAAATCAGGAGGATTGTGGTTCAAGCCCAGCCCAGACAAAAAGTTCTTGAGATCCCATCTCAACCAATAAAAATAAAAAACTGGGTGTGGTAGCAATAGCACTTGTCATCCCAGCTATGCAGGAGGCAGACCCTATTCAAAAAATAGCTAATTGCAAAAAGGGCTGGAGACATGACTCCAGTGGTAGAGTGCCTGCCTAGCAAGTGCAAGGCCCTGAGTTCAAACCTCAGTACTACAAAAAATAGAAACAAAACAATTTAAAAGACACAAGAATATTGTACTGGCCCATGGAGCTACTGGTTTCCCTCTCCGCAGCTAACCCAATTCCTTTTCTAATCTCTGATGGACCACATTACCCTCCTTCCTGCACTTCTGTTAATTCCTGCTCACTCCAAATGCCACTTCCTGCCCCCCAACTCCCTCTAGCAAGGGTATCTTCCCCACTAGATTGTGCCGTTTGAGAACAGCACTCTGTCTTAAGCATCTCTGCATCTCTCTGAGCTTAGTGCTGTCTCACGACCCACAGTGATCAGCGCTAAGTGCTTCTTGAAAGAATGAAGGATGCAACATGAAATTACTGGCCTTATAAGAGGATTGCCAGCCAATGGGTGTTCACCTTCTTTACCCTAGCTACAGCTCAAGCACCAACCACCAAGTGTAATTGTAGGTTCTGATCCAGATCTTTCTCCCTTCTTTTTCTTTCTTCTTTAAGACTTGGCACTTAATACTTAATAGTTTGTTTTGTTTTAATTCACTTGTGCCTAAAAAGATAGGATAGACTTCAGGTTCTTTTCTTCTGACTCCTTTTATCAAGTGAAATGCCCCAGGCCGGATGGAGTGGCCCTGGGCTTTCTCTGCATTATTGAGAGCGTTTTCCTTAGAGTTAGGAGAGCACAGTGGAACAGGAAGAAAACACCTGCACTGGGGGTAGGGGGGGTCCTAGAAAGGTTTATCTTTTGTGGGCATGTTCTGACTTTCTATGCACTTGGGGGTTCTTAAGAAGGGAAGTGAAAGAGCTGCTCCTCACTGAGTTTGCAGGCCCGGTTGCTGTCTATATCATCTTGGATGTTACCTCCCATTAGAGATCAGAGCTTTACCCTTGGCCCATGCAGAAGTAGAAACAGACATTCCTTTTGAAATTTATCCAAATAAGCTTGCTTAGTTATAAGAGTCAGAGCAATGCTGAAGCCACATGATGTTATGCAGACCAAAACTCCAAAATAAAGAAACCAATGTAAATCTGTTCTTTGGCTTCAGGCAATGAAAATCAAATGAAATCTTCCAGTTAGAAAATTCCATTTACACAAATATTTGAAAATTGTGCTTCAGAAGTAGATGACAAAAAAATTCATTCACCAAGTAAACAACTCTCAAGGGAATACGAAGGATTATAAAGTTGGCTTGGGTCTTTCCATTTAAAATCAGAGCTCTTCCAAGACAGAAACAGTCATTCTTCAAGGGTTTGAATCCGGGAGAGCGCTGCAGCATCTGTGTCCTTACGAGAAGGTCTGTGAAAGGTGGAGGGTCTTGCTGATCATTACCCACTGTGAGAAATACACAGGAACCCATTCCAAATATGAGAGAAGTTTCACAAGCTTGCCCTAACCGTTACCATATGCACCGTATTCTGATCTTTGCTGTGTACCTTGTTATGGTTCATTTTTTAAAATATTGGCAGAACCCTAAGACATCAATGTGTTGACCCCAAATGAGTAATGACTCCCAATTTGAAAAACACTGACTACAGAATAATTGAGTTTCTGTTTTAATTCTAGTAGTCATTGGCCCTAAAGTGACCTATGTTTTAGAATTTTTCCAGTGACTGCTGGTGGTGGGATCTGAAGCTATGGACAGGAAATTGCTTGTGATAAATGGGGCTCCTCTCAGATGCAGACAGTACATTCTGCATGAATGAAGCCCTCTGCGGAGAAGCTCCCATCCCTGTAGACAGGGAATCCACAAAATACGCAAAAGATACAGATGAAACCAGGTGCTCCCCAAACTGCTGAATGAGCGCCTTCCTCTATTCCATCTTATTAATGGAGGCAAATGTTATTATTAAAATGATTTTTCCTCCTAATGACCTTTTTGCTCAGTATCTAAGATTGACAGTTCAGCCTGAGCTGTCTAACCATATTTGAAGCCTTCCTCCACTATCAGCCCTGTTGCCGAGCTCCTCACGGATAGTGAGCACCTTAGCTTCCTCACCAGATGTTGAGAAAATGCAAATTCCAGACTCAGTTATGAGCTTTGACTCTGGCCAGGTACTGAAGACTGGGGCAGTATAACGAGTACGGGAAGCAGTCTCCTTGAGAGCTATGGTTCGCATGCAGTTTTCTGCCTCTCAATCCCTTGCTTTTAGGAGATAAAGTTTCCCACAAGTGACATGGCACAAGCTATAGACAGGTGTCCTTCAGATGATCCCAGCCATAGTTCCTTTCCATATTTGTGCTGAATTTATAACTATTTGGCAATCACATTATAAATTATTTTGGTTGATAGAAGGATGCTGACTTATAATGAAAAATCATTTCTTTGGTAGTTTGAACTCAGAGCTTTACACTTTCAAGGCAGGCATTCTACCACTTGAGCCACACCTCCAGCCCCAAATTTTAAAAAAAGTACTAGTGCTACATGTGGTCGTGCATGCCTATAATCCCAGCCCTTGAACTCAGGAGGATCATGAGCTCAAGACCAGCCTGGGCTATACAGCAACAAGACCTTCTCTCAAAAAAAAAAAAGTAAATGTATATATATATGTATGAAATGTATACAAAAATATTTTTGGCAAATATAGGTTGAAGCTGAAAACAATTCTACCCTACCAAAGAAACTGAGATAGACAGTTAAAATTGAGTTTGCGTGGTTAATTTAAAAGGGCAGTCAAGTCCAATATCCTTTAGTGTGTGTGTATGGTAATGGAACTCAGACCCTCACACTTGCTGAGCAGGTGCTCTGCCACTATAGCCAAACCCCTAGCCCCTACTATCCTTTCATCATTAAAGATAATTCTGTTTGGCTTCTACTAATCACATTTGCCTGGTTTTGCTTTGTACCGAATGCGTCTTGGGCCCCCATACTAAAATGTATTTATTGATTGCTCACAGAATTCCTTAATCCATCATAATCTGGGCAGTCATTAGTACTATGAACTGGGTGATTCACAGAGCAGAAATTTACCTGTACACAGTGGTGGGGGATGGAAGACTGAGAGATCAAGGTGTCGGCAGAATTGGTTTTATCTGAGGCGTCTCTCTTGGTTGGCAGGTGACCATCTCATCCTTGTGTCTTCACTTAGTCTTCCCTTTGGGTGTTTTTATGTCCTACTCTCTTCTTCTTAGAAGGACACCAGTCATATTAGATTAGGATGCAAACCTGTCGACTTTACTTTAACATAATAACCTCTTTAAAGGCCTTATCTTCAAGTACAATCACATTCTGAGGGACTAGCAGTTAGGACTTTAACCTGTGAGTTTTGGGGAACACACTCAACCCATAATACACTCAGTAAAGCTCTTTGCAGCGATGGTTGTGGGGAGTAGCAAACAGATCCCTGCAGTACTTGGCCCTCTGGTCAGTTTCTAAACAGCATGTGGTTTTTGGCTCTAGGGAGAACCAACGCTGACGTGATGACGGCACTGTCTCAGGGCTACCGGATGCCCCGCATGGAGAACTGCCCGGATGAGCTCTACGACATCATGAAAATGTGCTGGAAAGAAAAGGCAGAGGAGAGGCCCACGTTTGATTACTTGCAGAGCGTCCTGGATGACTTCTACACCGCCACAGAGGGGCAGTATCAGCAGCAACCCTAGCGCCTGGGAGGCTTCACTCAGTGATGGGAAGAAGTAATGGACACTGGTCACACTGGTTATTTCACATACTGGGATCATCTGCACGCCTGGCTCCTGAAAACAGAGGCTAAATCATGCAGGAAGAACACCTTTGACACGGGAAGTATTCCGTTCTCTTAGGCTGCTGCCCACCGGGATGCAGCTTGGACTGCGCCTCAGCTAGTCATCTTGTTCTGCCTGACCAACATCAGAATATCACCTTCAGAGAAGACAGCTGTTCTCCCCAGCAGTGCATCCACACTGGGCCTGCATTCACAGTTGGCTGTGTGACTCAAAGGTTCAGAGGCCATTGCAACCAATCCCTGGTAGTAGTAGAACTAAATTCACTTATAAAGCAAAAATAACCAGATGCATGCATGACACTTCTTTGTATTTTCTCTATGCTTTGGCTTTTTTTTTTTTTTTTTTTTAATTTACTAATCCAGCCTGTTAGATTTTACAGGTGAAGTGAGCAGCTTCAAAATGTCTCTTCCAGATTTTAATGTTTTTGTTTTTTTGGGTTCGATTTCCCCCACCCCCACCCTTCCCCCACCCACCCAACTGTCCCTCCTCCCTACTGAAATGTGAGACTGTTAAACATTTTCCTATCCTGGAAGTTGAGAGATCTGCTGGACAGGTGGCAGCCCCAGCTGCAATTCGCGTGCCCCCTGCAGGAAGGTCCTTGATGAACACTCACCCAGGCTAGGCCTCCCAGGAAAAGACAAAGAACCTCAGAAAAAACTGCTTGACCTTGCGGTGGAATGTTTTTAATGGTCCAGTTTTTCAACTCCAGGATTTCCTACATGAAGACTTTTTTGACAGTGTCATTTGGAAGAACAGTAAGATCTTAATCTCAGCCGAACTTTATAGGACACTCCAAAACATAAACATTTCCTTCATTGCTTCAAATGATTTGAACATTATTTTAAAGATGAAATAGTAATTTTAGTTTTACTCTAGAAAGTAAAAATACCATATTTTGGGTTATTTTGTGATTCAGCAATCTTTTCTAAATCGTATAAGATGTGTGTGAGACTATTTATACCTTAGGATATGAAGGGAAGTGACTGAGGAGACTCTAGAGGTTTTGTTTACCCAGTGTTTCTACTGTAAGCTTGAATGACTGCTATCTCATATTGTTTCACTTATGCTGTTGTGTATATACCTAATAATTCTATTTTTGATTTTATTTTAATATACCTGGCCCAGTAACATCTCAGGCTTTTTTCCTTGTGTTTCACATTCTCAACAAAAGTCAATGTAAAAATGAGCACTAGTTGGTGGAGAAGGGGATGAGAAGTGATTGCATGTGGAAGTTCTTCCTTCATCCTTTGGGCATTTCAGATGGGAAAACTGAGGGGTCGATGGCTTCGGTAACGGAACATACCTTGAAAGGGACCAAATAGGATTTGTTCTCAAATAAGGTTTGAAGGCTCCATTAAGTTTTTTTTGTATGTTTTGTTTAGGCTTCCAATGCCTAGGAGAAGGGATCAAATATTTTACTTTTCCCTAAATTTTAGCTTTTTCCTGTGTGATTTAAAAACAAAACAAACAAACAAACAAAAAACCCTTTTCTAAAGTGGCTCAAGTGGTAAGAGCACCTGACTCGCAAGCATGAGGCCAAGTTCAAACCCCAGTGCCATAAAAAATAAATAAATAAAAGTTTTGATTCACAAGTGCCATATTCACAAAGATAGAATGTTATTATTATATAACATCTCATAGTTGGTCCCTTGACTCACAATGGCAAGTTTTCTCCCTGCATACCCCCTTGTTCACATTTCATTTGAAAACCATGTGTATTACCCAGTTTGTTAATGGAGAGAAAGTGTAAAGAATCCCTAAGGTGAAAAGTCTGTAGAAAGTTACTAAAACTTTATCTTCACCTTGTTTTGGTCCCCTCAATGTGGCTTTTCTATTTCCCGTCTGACTTCCCCTTTTATTCCCATTTGAGCCTTTGCTCCACTGCCTGCTTCATCAGAAGCCATCAGAAAAGCATATTGGCCATGCCCTCTAGGACACAAGCAAGAGTCCTGGTAAAATAGATACACTTCTGAAAGCTATGTATAAAATAACTTTTATATCAGGTAAAAATATCATCTATGATGTTTTCTGAAATGAAACTTCAAATTTCTATATTATGCTTTGTTTATCATAAAATATAACTAAAGAAAAAAAAGAGTGATGAAAAGAGAGACCCACTCTTACACAGTGGACAAATCAAAAACACTGTAACAACTTCACCCTAACCTCATTTCCAGTGCCTGTTTCCCTTTATTCTTCTTGTGAATCCCATAAACTATGTGTCGGTACCTTAACTACCATAGCTCCTGAATGCTCTCAGTACTGAAACACCACTTTTGATATGTTCCACCAAATCCAATGAAACGTGTCTACTGCTGGCCTCCCCAGCTCTTCTGCTTTTAACTGGCCACTTTCCACAGCAGACTCAAAGCATTTCCTGCTCTCTCAGCCAATAGCACTTCTCAACTCTGACCTTTCTCCTCAGTGTCTTCCCTTCTTGTTTCCTTCTGCCTGCGGACTCCACATTTTTGCTCTACGAAGTTTTTTAATTAAGTGAAGCTGAGTTTTGCTATTTGTGATAACAGAAATGGGGATTATAAACACATGAAGATACCAATATACCCACCATATACTCAGGGCTCTTTTGTGCTTTGGCACAAAAATTATCTCCAAGCCAGGCACCAGTGCTCACGCCTGTGATCCTAGCTACTCAGGAGACAGAGATCAGGAGGATCTTGGTTCAAAGCCAGCCTGGGCAACTAGTTCACAAGACACTATCTTGAAAAAAGCCATCACAAAAAAAGGGCTGGTGGAATGGCTCAAAGCATAGGTACTGAGTTCAAACCCCAGTACCACAAAAAAAAAAAAAATGATCTCCAACTCACACCACAATAACCCTGGCAGATCAAGAAAGTGCCTATCTCCGTTTAACAGCAAACCAATGAGGAGCACTCAAAGCCACAGAAAAAATATATTGACTTTGTTTCTTGTTTCCTTGTGAAATAAAATGAATACTATGTAACATAATCTCCCTGACTCAGTGGAGTGTTCTAAAGGGGCAAGGGTATGATTTACAAAGTGTTCCAGTGAAGGCCACAAGATGGTAAGGAGAAATTTCCCCTCATGCAAGAACTAACTCACCACTCAGACTTTTAAAAACAATTTGTAGGGAGTACATGCTTCTATAAAATGTTTCAATACCATTTATGCTTCATTTCCTGAGGATGTATTAAAACTGGTTGTTTAAAAAGGCCTGGTAGCAGTGGTTTATGCCTGTAAAATCCTAGCTACTCAGGAGGCAGAGATTAGGAGGATCACAGTTCAAAGCCAGCCCCAAACAAATAGTTCCTGAGCCCCTATCTCAGAAATAGCCAGCACAAAAGGGCTGGCAGAATGGCTCAAGTGGTAGAGCACCTGCCTAGTAAGTGTGAGGCCCTGAGTTCAAACCCTGGACCAGCAAAAAAAAAAAAAAAGATAAAAAATGATCTCAGCAAGCTCTATCTAATACATGTGTAAAAAGAGAGCTTTCCTGTTCAATTTTCTATGTTCTTAAATCTATTAAATACTTCAGGTAAGAGTGCCAAAAATGTCACAGAGTTCCCAAGATAGCCATCATGGGATCTTGAGTATTTTCTTTAAATGTGGAGATGACAGGAGCAATCTCAGTGGCCTCCATCTAACATCATTGGAATGACATTAGAAAAAAATCATTGGCCAATGTGCAATCTTAGCACAGAACCTCTAGAATTAAAAGGGGTCTTATCTACAGCCCCAAAAGTAGACACTGTGTCACAAAGCAAAAAAATTATATATGAATTTTTTTATATAGCTTTACACTGTGTGTGGACATAGACAATAGGTCCTTAATCCCTTACCTGCTACCTTTAGGGTTAGTTGTGTTTTCAAATTGAGGTTTTTAAAAAAGATTAATGCAATGAATGTATTGAATATTCAGTGGTCAAACCTCAGTCAACACTGAAGAAAAACTTCAATCAAATTAAACATTTCTCAAAAACATGCCTGAATATTCATATTAAGCAGGATGAATACAGCCTATAAATAGATTCAAGTCAATTTTTGCCATCAAATGAGTTCTTCAAAAAATCTTTTGGCTTTTGTGGGCTTTTTGGATTCAGAATTATGGTACAGGCATGTAGATTAGACCTGTACTTTGTCAGCTTGAAGAATGTGCAAGACTTCTTTATATGAGTGCTATATTAGATTCAGTGGAACTCATCCAAATGGGGCTTGCTCAAAACCCACTTGAGGCAGTCATGTTCAAAAATACACAATATTTGTGCTTCTCTCTTTGGAACAACACAGTCATTGTTGATATAATCTCTGAGAAAGTACTGTTTCTTGGAGGCCTGATTCATAGTAGTTAAAATGAGGTGGGGTGACTTGGCAGTTTTAGTTGACCACAAGCTCCCTGTGGAAGCCAAGACAAGGAGTATGGTTCCAGGTACCATCCCAGGTATCTAGCAGCTGGAGAAGGCCCCACATGAAGCCATGTTCTCTCATTACATGGAAGTCGTACCACACAGGAGGGTCACATTCAGTTCTGAACACTTGATGGCTGATCCTCAGATCTTTTTTTTTTTTTTTTTTGGCTGTACTAGAGTTTGAACTCAGAGCCTCACGCTTGCTAGGCAAGCACTCTACCACTTGAGCCTCTCACTCTGCCAGCCCTGATCCTCAGATCTTAAACTGCCTGGGACAAGTCACTTTGGTGTAGACAGTGGGTGCACCTGAAGGGACAAGGAGCCACATCACAAATGTTTCTTGATTTGATAGGCAAGAGTAATATAATCTTTTTAAACCATTTGCTCTGTCAAATTATAATTGGAGTCCTTTTTTGTAATATTTTTTTTTTCTGAAGTAACCACTGCTAGTTTGTCAGTGCACTTTAAATCAGGCTGTCTGGGCTGATAGTAATCACTTAGTACAGAGCTCAGTGAGGCACGTCCCTGTCACAGGAACCATAGTAGATGTGTGAGGGACATGAGCATTTCACCTTACATTATCTGCTTAATGTAACAAGCACAACAATGGCCCAAGACAGAGCAAGAAAACTGAAAGGGAGGCAAAAAAAAAAAAAAGGCACAAAGCATGAGGAAGATCATTCTGCAGAGAACACAGCTAGCTAGAAGGACAGGAAGTGGTAAAGGGAAAAAGTTTCCTAAAACAAGTGGCAGTCAGGTGTTCCCTTGAAGAATGAACAGGGCCCTGGTAGCCAGAAAGGAGACTTTGGGGAAGAAACTTCAAGGAAGGATGTAGCAAGGGAAGAGGCAAGGCCTGGAGCATAGGCATATAAAAGACAGAGCACATGGGTTGATAGAACGAGGGCTGGCCCTCTCAAACTTGAGCGTGCCTCAGAATCT